TATAAAGATATTATTTCTAATACAAGGTCATCCTTGGTTACACAGAAGTTATACATAGGGATAATTTTACAGCTAATAAAATTTCTCATTGCTTTTCTCTTAGAACTCAGGTTGAAAATTCACTTTGAAATCATCTTTCTTAGATATCTAAGTTTTCTTATCTAGCATAGAACTGTATATTAAACATTAGTCTTTAATTATTTCTCTCTTTTATTTTGGGGTGGGGGAGAGATAGGGTCTCCCTGTAGCCCTATTGGGTTTAGAGCTTGTTATATACATCAGGCTGGCCTTGATCTTACAGAGATCTGTCTGCCTCTACCTCTTGAGTGCTGCAATTAAAGGTGTGTGCCACCACACCTGGCTCTATTTTATTAAGTATGTGAAAAACCATGCCGGGTATCAAAATATCAAGAAGAATTATGTGCCCCCAAATCTTATCCCATGAAAGTGATTCCTAAGTCTCATGTATTATCTTTGCACATTTGTATTTTCTGAGAATCAATAGGATCTTAAAGTTAGAAAAGACCTCAATTTTTATTAAGTGATTTGAGACCTAAGATATTGAACGGCTATGTTCTGTCAAATGCATAACAAAATCAATTTTCAAGATTCTCAATACAGAACTTTCTATCTTATAAAGATGAAATTCACACCCATCTTGACCAAAAATAAAGATGCCAATATATTTTACCTCTCCGCATCAGTCTTTGATCCAATAATGAACCTAAAATGTTAGTGAGAAAGAGACGAGGTATTAGATAAGCATGTCTTAAGAAGTCCTAGGTTTACTTCTGAAATCTTTCATATTTTAGGCATCATAATATAAATTCATTTAAATCTATCAACTCATCACTAAATTTAAAACAAAACATTTAAATTTGAGAAACAATGCTCAAGTTTTACATCATAAAATAATGAATTTGGCTGATTTACTTTAGGGGAAATTTATTCTGCTTATGATTTATCATTATACAATCTGTACTAAAAATTGCCAAGTACTACTATATACTTGTATAAATCACTAAACTACTGAAAGGTCTTTGGAAGTCATTATTGTAATGTACATAAGAGGACCTTAGAATTATTTTAGACAAGGAAGAAAGTATATTGCCAATTCTAACAAATATATTTTCCAAGTTTTAAAAAACGTTTAGCATTATAATTTAACAGATTGAAACAGTAGTTATTTTTTTAATTACCAATTTGAATGATCATCTGTGGAAGAGCTGAAATAAAATGTAGAAGAAAAACTCAGTTAATGCAAATCAATCTTAAAGTGTCATAGATAGCAAAATTACACATACAGTATCACTACATGAGTCCATGTGTATAGCTGAAGGCTACATAACAAGAAACAGTGCCAGACAGGAGAAACTTTCCTTTGAGTTATTGGTCAATGTAGTCCAAAAGACTCCCATATTGCCACAGTCCTTGTTTACCTGCCAGAACTTGGTATTAAGACCCTAATGCTGAAGAAAGGACATATTTTGGACACATGATTTGGAGCAATGGCGCAGAACTGACCGGGAAGTCACCTCCCCTGAAAGCTCTTATAGCTTTGGAGAGCATCTCATAAATTGCTAAGATAGAACATCATTCAATGGTCCAACCCCAGCTTCAAGGCCTAAAAACCACATCAATGACCAGCACAGCAAATGACACTGCTGTAGTAGTGGCACTTTTATCTTGGGAGTAATCAACAGCAACCTAATTGGACTTAAAGCCCACTCAATGGGAGGAAACACATATGTGGTACTATAAATCTAGCCAAATACACATAGCTGGAGAGGTCATAGATCTTAGAGAAAACTCCAAGGCTGTCACATCCCTAGACAAATTTAACATGGATCCTTAAATCTACAGACAAGTATCCCAGTTACCACCCATCAAAGAAGCTTCTTTTTCAAGAGACAGAGATAATTACAGAGTTCCACAACTGTCATACACAATCTATGAATTGCCCAAGCCTAAGTGGCACATTTAGGATGCAACTTCTACACCCAAGGCTCATGGAACATAGAACAAGGGATTTAGAACACTAATGCATCCTTTAATTCTCATCAATGAGGCTCCCTCATGCAGTAGAGGTCCAGGAACGCAAAAGGTCACAAATGGCCAAAACGGAGAGAATAAGAGTCTGCAGAATGTGGGTCCTTGGACAGGACTCTTATATTAAAATCCTCCCACCCAGGGCTCAGGGGTCATTGCCGAAGAGGAGGTGGAAAGGCTGTTAAGAGCCAGGGAGGTGGTTCATGACCATACAGAAACAGTCCTACAGGTGCCTGAGACTCTTCTCATATGAATGTACAGCAATAGTGTCAGTATACACAAGATGCATGCAAAACTAGGCAGACAAAAACCTAGCACAGAACTGTGGAAATGAACAGCACTCCCCAATCTTAGTCAAAGAATTATTGGCAGCTGATTACTGCTGGGTGAGAATGAGCTGATCTTAAAGGAAGGAACATCTGGGGACACTAACTTTACATGATAGGCCGTAACACAAATGACAGAAGGTATGAAATCCAGTGGGGGAGGTTATGGGAGGGTCCCCTAAGGGGAAAGGGGTATAAAGATGATTTTCTGTATGAAATACACAAAAATTCAATTAAAAAATTAAAAAAAAACCACCACTTCATAGTAATTTTTGAATATGGAAGAATTTTGAAGACAACATTCACTGAACATTTGCAGCACCTTTCTAAAGTAATGTCAAAAAATTTAATTCTCTTCCTATCAAAGTAGTCATTTTGTGATTTAAACTTAATTTTTTACAAGGGAGAATTTATTATATTGTTGTGTTCTAGAAATGTTAAAGCATTAAATGTTGATACATTTAAAATGACCAGTGTGTCTTCAGAAGAGAAATGTAAGTAATCAAAATAGCTGACAGCTGTTGGCTGAGGAATTTCTGCTATTTTTTCTTGACTTTTATCAAGGTACTGGCGAAATAACTTTAAAATCCATCTTTTTACACTAATTTCATGTCTATTTTGGTAAAGGTTTGAACAACAATGACATAGTTACTATTTCCCCTCATTTTTTGAGCTCTTTTTCATCTTTTCAAAACAGTATGAATGTGATTTTAAAAAATAAAACTAATCATAAAATCAAAACTATCAGCACTGGGGAGGCAAAGGCAGGCAGATCTCTGTGTGTTAGAATGACATTTACACACTTCTTCACTAACAAAACAAAGAGGAGGGACTTGGAATGATTATTTACAATATGGACACACTCTAGATAAGTGACTTTTACCTAACCTTGCAACCAAAGCTAATCTTAAGCTTGTTTATAATGTAGACAAATTCACTGAGCCATGTGCTCCTCTTGTGACCTGGTCATATGGCCTTAATCCCTCTGGACCCTTCCTTGCCCTCCACCCAAGATAGTATGAATGTGTGTAGGCATATTTTACATATCAGAGCTCTGCAAACAGCACTTTTTTAATTGAAAATGAAATAATTATCCCATTTGTGTTGCAAGAGAAATAGATGGGATTAAATTAATAATGTCTGTTTGTGATTGGAAGTATGCTATTCTAAATCAGTAGGGCTGAGAAAGGGCCAGATTCTCTGGTAAGGGTCTGACTTTCACTTTCCTATTTCATGATGGATGTACTTTTTCAATAAACCAGCTAGCCTTTCTTTGAGAACAGAATTCTGAGAGAATTTTGAAGGAACAGGCTCTCAGCAGTTTGAGTCTACTCTTGGCCTTAAAAATGGATGTTAAGAGTTAGGCTGTTTTATTAAGGAATGATCGTAATGTGGCTTCAACATGCCACACCTGTGAATTTGAGGTCAGCCTGGACTACACAGTCATTTCCAGGCCAACTGAGGTCACAGAGTGAGACCCTGTCTCAAAAACAAACAAACAAACAGAAACTAAGTATTAGTACCCTGCACTAAAAATGTACATTTTAAAATATCAACTATATAAACTAACATATAAATATATCAAGGAAACCCCAAGAATGTCTTTCAAAGCTAGCATAAAAATTATGTTTTTATTTTTATTTATCTAAAAAAATTTCCTAAAAATACTTGTTTTTTCATTATGTGTATTGGTGTATTGTCTGCATATATGTAAGTGCACCCATGCTGTGCAATGCCCACAGAGGCCAGAAGAGGGCGTCAGATTCTCTGGAATTGGAGTTATAACTGGTTGTGAGCAGACATATGAATGCTGAGAACCAAACCCTGGTCATCTGCAAGAGCAGCAAGTGCTCTTAATTACTGAACCATTTTTCCAATCACTTTCTTCCCCCCTTTTTTTTTTTTTTAAATTTTTGAGACAGGCCCTCCCTGTAGCCCCAGCTAGCCTGGAACTCACTATGTAAACCAAGCTGGTCTCAAACTCATAGGGATCAGGACAGAAGATGGTGAGAAGGCATTGGATCCCCTGGAACTGGAGTTATAAACAGTTCTTAGCCTCCATGTGGGTGCTGAGATATGAACCTGGGTCTTCTGCAAGAACAGCCAGTGCTCTTAAATCACTGAGCCATCTCTCTAGCCCCATTCATTTTTAATATTTTATTATTTTTAAATTTATGTATATAAGTGTTATTGTCTGCATGTATGCAAGTGCACCCATGTCATGCAATGCCCAGAGGCCAGAAGACGCCATCATGTGTCCTGAAACTGGAGTTATAGAAAGTTGTTAGCCACCATGTGAATGCTGGGAACCAAACCTGGATCCTCTCCAAGAGTAGCCAGTACTCTTAACCACTGAGCCATCTCCCCAGCCCCAATGATATATGTTTTTTTGTTTTTAAAAAGAAATTGTTATAATTATAAATAACTTAGAGAACATGGTAACTACTTTTTAACTTTATCTACATCCACTGTCAAAACTAATAGGTATATTAAATAACCAATAAATCCCCAAAGGGAAATTGCCATTCATTAGCAGTTAGTTCATCAGTAATTCTAAATAAATTCTGGATGTCTGATTTTTGTCCATTACATATATTCAACAGAACTCACTGGGATGGGGACATCTGGTTGTCACTTTCTTCATCGGCTTTACATGGCTGTATTTTTCCGTAGTAAAGTGGATCACCAACTGACTGCAATATGGTCAGCTTTGTTTTCTGATATTGATTACCACTTTCACATTCAAACACATAATCATCTTTTATATCCTGAAAAAGACAGAGTCCCACAACAATTTCCACATTAAAGGTATAGGAATTGAATGAAGAGGCTAAATGACTTTCACGAGGTATTTCAGCCTATAACCAAAACCCTCATGCAGGACTGGTTAAGACTTTTTTTCCTATATGGTTCTTTGGGATGAGTTCCAATGGAATGTTTAATAAAGCTTAAGAGAAATATGGCAGAATTCATATACTGGACATACAATTGCAAAATTTAACAATTTAAAGATAAACTTTGAAAGCAGAAATGTTTTTGTCATGAGGGAGACATATAAAATATCCTATGTGCAAAATATCTTATTTCACCCTTAGAGCTTATCTGATATATTATTTTAATTTTTCCCTTTAATAAGTTATTACCATGAGAAAAATTAGAACATTTCCATTAAGAGACATCTTTAAGTCAGGTATGGTGGCAAACGCCTATCATTTCAGCACTCAGGAGGCAGAGGCAGGAGGATGGCAACAAAGTCAGCCTTGTATATATAGCAAATTCCAGGCAAGCCTAGGCTACATGCAGTAACTGTGTCTCAAAAACACTTTAAAAAGAATATACTAATTTGAAATACAAAGTAAGTGGTAACTATCAACATGCAGCCAAAATAAAAATGTGGGTTTTTTCTTTTCTCAGACATGTTCTCACCATGTGGCCCTGGATGATCTCAAACTCGTAATTTTTCAGCAGCAGCTTACCTAGTTCTAGAATTATTGGGTGTGCCACTACACCTGACACTCATTTAGGTTCTTGAGTCAATAGCTCCATATGTAGCCCAGGCTGGCCTCCAACTTATAATCTTCCTGCCTTGGCTTCCAAGATCTGAGTTTATAGGCATGCTCATAAAAACAAAGTTCTGTATTAAACTTTGTTTAAACTTTTTAAAATGGAAAATGTATTTTATAAAATACAAAATACTTCTTCTTAAAGTTCATAGGAACTCCAAAGTTATACATAAAAAGCAATTTTATGTTTAATAAATTCAGATCCTGGATTATAGACAACAGTGTGAGCCAGGTATGGTGGTATATACCTGCAATCCTAGCACTTGGGCAGTAGAGGGAGAAGGATCAGTGTGCTCAAAGTCATCCTTGGCTACATACCACATTTGACAAGCAAACAGTATCATTAGTAAAGTCTGGCAATATTACTTACATGGGCTGGCCAGACTGTTGGTTGTGAGTCATCAGATTTGATAGATTTTTCTACTTTAGCATATTTCTCCACCTAAACAATCAGGACACCAAATAAAATGGAATTAGTATTCTGACCAAAGAGAACAAGAACCTACACAATTCAACAATAAAACAATATTAACACAAGAATTCCTGAATTACCAGTATCACCAAATACTTAAGAACAGGTAAAACTGCTTTCCATCAAGCCTGACAATCTGAATTCAATTCCTGGGACCCATATGGTGGGAGGAGAGAACTGACTCCTCTAAGTTGTCCTCTGAGTGGTATGTATGGTAGTGCGATGGCATGTGCACTGCATGCCTGCCCCCGCCACAAAGAGGAAAATGTAGAAAAAAAAACAAAAAACCAAAAAACAGAATCAAACTAAACCAAGGAAACAAAATAAAAAAAACAATGAGAAAATGTTTCAATCTCTTTTACTTTCTAGATGGATATAGTCCATATATTAGCTCCTAAGAATTTGTGTTAACCAAATATTCTCACCTACTTGGTAGCTCTTGACTTTTTCATCTCCTAGAGACACAAGCCAAGTAAATATAAACATACACTTGAAACCTGTATGTTTAACTGACATGGTTTTGCTGATGAGCTAAACTAACAGAAGCTTTGCTACTTAGAAGTGTGGTCTGTGGGCCCCATGGCAGCATCTCAACTCTAGCCCAGGATCACTGAATGGGATCTATAATTTAACAAACTCTACAGGTGATTTGTTTTTATCTAAAAATTTGGCAAGTACTGCTTTTGAGATCCATCCTTTCCTCCAAAGCTAAAATTTATCTTTTGTACAGTTTACCCTAAACATCAGTTCTCAGGATACATTCCCTGAAGTTCACACATGCAACAAAAAGACAATATAGCTTTCTTTCTGGAGTTGTGTATTGATTTTTTAAAAAATCATTTTAACAACAATCCATGTGTTAGCTAGGAAAGAATGCAAAAAATATGTGATACTAATTTTCATAAGAACTGAGTAAGGGCCAGCAAGATGGCTCAGTGGGTAAGATGCTTGTTGCTGAGCCAGACAAACAGAGTTCAGTCCCTGGGAGGAAGAACAGAACTCCTGACAAGTTGTCCTATGACTAGCACACGTGTGCCGTGGAGCACAGGCACACATACAATAAATACCTGAAAGAAGAATTGAGTAAATAATAAAATCAGACTACAAAAGAAACAGGAAAATGAAATACAGGATTGCTCAACAAGGGGCTGGAGAGATGGCTCAGTGATTAAGAGCACACGCTGGGTTTGGTTCTCAGCACCTACATGACACCTAACAACCCTCTGTAACTCCAGTTTCAGGGGATCTGATGCCCTCTTCTGGCCGCCATGGGCATTGCACATACAGGTGCACTTACATAAATGCAGGCAAAACACACACACACACACACACACACACACACACATAGAAATATTACAGCCATTTCACGTACATTATGGAAATATGCCCTATTTTTTCCACACTTTGAAATTGTTTTATCATTCCTACTCTAAACACAGAGCTTTATTCACGGTATGTTCTAATGTAATTAAATGTGGTGGCTCACTCCTCTAATCTCTAGACTTGGGAGACTGAGGTAGGAATACTGTCCCAAGTTTGAGGCCAATGTGGGTTACAGAGTAAGACCCAGTCTCAAAAAACTAACAAATTTACATAGCTAAAAGTGAAGAATGCACAGCTTCTTAAAATGAGTTTATTTAAAAGAAAATTTTTTTTTTACATTGTTTTCTCACAGCTTTAGTTACCTAATGATAAAATTTAAGAACTGTGTTTGAAAGGAAAAAGCATTTCATAAGCTAACTTACATCTATTTCAGAAGGTATGGCCAAATTACAGGGGCTCCGTTTCCACATGTCTACACACTGAAAAATTAAAAAAAATATAATTACACCAACTTAAAACAAGGCAAACTTTTCAGCATAATAAACTCCATTAAAAAAATAAAATAAAACAAAAACTTACATTTCCTGCTTTAGAAATTTTGAGGTCATAATGCTGACCCGCTTTTCTTTCTTTTCTTTTTTGTAAGAAGTCAAGTAATTTTAATTGAGGAGGAGGAGGACAATGAGAGAGATCCTGCTGCCGGTTCAGAGAGGACCTGGAATACCTCTTGAAACACCTAAAGTATTGAGAGATTGGAACTCAACAAAGCTAATAAGCTAATAACAAATGGAATTAAACTATCAAGCATCAGTTATAAAATTAAATCACAAATAGCCTTTTCAAATGTAGAATTATAAAATGTGTTTGTCTTGAGATACAGTAACTTTAACTATAGCCTAAATCAATATGCAATCTTTTATTAAGAGATAGCTAAAACATTTAGAGACAAATTACCATGCTTTGTAAAAGACATTTAGGGCCTAGGGATGTAGTTCCATGGTGGAGTGCTTGGCTAGCATGCATGAAGCCATGGGTTCAATTATTAGTACCAAGAAAGAACACATTTATTCATTTATTTGAAAATAGCATTTGTTTATAAACAATTTCTAAACTTATGATATTTTCTCAAAACTCATATAAGTTACAAGTTGTTTCCAATTACCAAAAATTAAATTGGTTATTCAGTATTAGGAACTAATGAAGAATTATCCCTGTCCATATCTGGTCTTTTCTCTACTACAACAACCCCTTTAGTGAACAGGTTTACAATTTAGAGGGAGTTGGTCCTTTAAAACTCTACAAAAAATGTTATCACTTCATAACAATACAGAGAATACTAGAAAATTGTAATGCACAAAACTATAATACAATGTCAGGACAAATCTTTCAAGTGAAAAAAAAAAAAATCAGAGCACTTATACTCTGGCAGGAAAAGACACTGTGGTTAGCAAAACTTAAAGCTACCTATATCACATAAATGTTGACAATTACCGTTTCATTGGGCGAGTGTTCATCTTTTGCCGGTTATAAAGCAGTCTGTTTGCAGTGCATGCTACTGCTACAGAAGGATCAAGACACAGTGGTTCAGCTGTAGCCAGAATCAACTGGCTCTCAAGCAAAAGTTTGTCTTCCTGAAATGCACCAGGAGTGTATGTCAGTATCTAATAGAATGTTTTCAACAAAGTAAATATACACATCATATAATCTAGAAATATTCCCTAGAATTTTGTTAAAGATTAAAGTAAAATGTATTAACTAAGGTTTGAACATTAGTGTGTAAACTCAACAATATAAAGAAACTTCTAATGAAATTCAGTAATTTGTATATATTATGTGAAATAGTCAAATTCAAAGACTGAATATTTATTTGGCTACCTAAAATACAATTTATTTGGGAATGGAGAATAATTATATACTCTCCTTTGTTTAACAATCCTCAGCTTAAGAAATTGACAATTTGTGACTGGGTATCTCATATACATTGCTGAGTCAGAACGAATGGGTTAATTAGCTTCTGTCATTGGTAAGAGAAATCTTGTTATGCCAGGTATGGTGGCATGTCTTTACTCTCAGAACCCAGGAGACTGAGGCAGGAAGATCTCAATCAGTTCTAAGCCAGCATAGGCTAGAAACCTTGCCTTCAAAAAGAAAAAAAGGGGGGGGGGGGAGAAAAGCTATGCTTGGAGTTTTAGAATCTTGAATGACAAAAAAATTACTGTATATTCATTGTAAAAATAAAGCTTTTGTTTGGGAAGGGATTTAAAAAAAAAACAAAAAAACCCAAAACTCCAATTTTCACATTAGGTTTATTAGGTCAGCTTAATGAACTATAAACACCTCCTTGAGGGATTCCTGAATATATAGAGATTTTAAAATTCTAAAGCTTATAAAAGAATCTTAGATTTTTCACAAAAGAGTCCAACTTAATATACGAATAAAAACAAGCAGGAAAACAACACACACACACACACACACACACACACACACACACACACACACACACACACACAAAGCTCTCAGAGAACAGCTTTTCATTAATTTTCTTACTATTATTTTGTCTACTTCGAATTTAAAAATAGGAAGTACCTGGGTCCATTTATGGTTATCACTTGTTATTGAATGAACATCACAGATTAAAGTCTAGAAGAAATTTAAAAACATTTAAACACACACACACACATATATATATATGAAGATTTCTACTAAGTAAAAATTCAACTAAAAACAAAAAAAACAAAAAAACAGTTCTTCCTAGTTAAACATTCCACACCTGCATTGTTGGACGTAACAGAATGTGTCTACTTTGGTACCCAGGAGATTTCATATTACTGGATTGCCTGTAGTCACGTATTTCTGCTATGACACATCCACAATGAAAAATATTAACCTGTTTTGAGAAAAAAACATTCAGGTAAGTATCATTTTTCAAAAGCCTAAATAAGCAAGTTTGTATCAAATGTTTCACATTCTTTAAACTCTTACTCATTATTTCTGGCCATTCTCATATTTTCAATAGATCTTTGGTGAATATATTACTATATAAACCACTCAAGAGGACTATTTTGTTTTTATGTAGGTAAGTGCACCTGTGTAATGCAATGCCTGCAGAGGACAGAAGCGGCTGTTGGAGCCCCTGGAGCTAGAGTTATGGATAGTTGTTAGCTGCCATGTGGGTGCTGGGATTCAAACCCAGGTCTTCTGTAAGAACAGTCAGTGTTCTTAACTGCTGAGCCATCTCTCCAGCCCTTATAGTCATATTTTAAAAAGCAATTTAAAACTGTTAAGTTTCTAGCTATAGACTGATTTTGACATCTAATAAAGTCAACAGGTTACCTTCGGCATTTATATACTAGTAAAGTTCCAGTAGCTCCTTGGGATTGTAGTTCTTCTGAAGCTTGTTGGTATGTTGTTACTTTGCTAACTATGACTGTTATAAAGTCTGACATTGTTATAAACTGTCAATAAACTCAGCCAGAATGTCAGGTTCTAGACATAACTACTGTATTTGCTTTTTTAAAATTTCCAAAATTTACAGACTATTTTAATAAGAGGAAAGTTAACTATAAATTCAAATTTAAAATATGTTGCATCACAATTGTAATGAACCTTATTACTTGTTATAACTTGCCAAGGTTCATTATCATGTTTCTCATCCACTTAGAACTTTTGAACAGTGTCATCACATTATCTATCACTCATACTTCTGCTCATTCTTACACAAGTATTTACTAAGCAATCCCAATATAATGTGCCAGGCAATAGCTAAGAAGTTTCACAGGTACAGTGGTCAGATGACATTTGCTCTCAACATGGGAAGACAGACAATAAATGTTATAATGATTTTTTTTTTTTTTTTTTGTCTTTTTGAGACAGGGTCTCCCTGTAGCCCCAGATGTCCTGGATTCAGCATGGAGACCAGGCTAGCCTCGAACTCACAGAGATCTGCCTGCTTCTGCCTCCCAAGTGCTGGGATTAAAGGCATGCGCCACCACCCCCAGCTAAACATAATTTTAGATAATGATGAATGATTTAAGCAAAATAAAATGGGAAGGGGCTACTTTAGGTTGTATGATCAGATAAAAACTTCTCTGTGGTGAGATATGAATCACAAGAATTGATCTAAGACAGATAATTCCAGACAGAAGGACTAGCAAATGAAAATGTGTAACAAGGTGGGTGTGGTGGCTCATGTCTGATATCCTAGCACTCAGGAGGCTGAAGCAGGAAACTGCCACAAGTTGGAGATCTCCCTGGGAAATATAGTGAGTTTCAGTTCAGCCTGAGCTAGCATAAGACCCTGACTCAAGAAAACACAACACAACACACACACACACACACACACACACACACACACACCCATGCTCATTACAAACAGTAGGAATAAGCTTGGTATGCTTTAGCAAAGGCAGGCAGGGAAGGTGGCAAAGGTGATTGGACAAAGGTGGCTCAAGTAGAATATAGTGTATATAGTGACAATTAGGAAGTGAAGAAAACAGAAAAGCAGTATATATATAAAAATATATAATTCAGGCCTAAGCATTAACTAATTTCTAAGAATCTACTTATATTACTATATTTACTTTCCTTTAGTTATAAACAACAACAACCCTTTTTACTTTTTTTTTTGAGATAGGGTCTCCAGCTGGGCTGGAACTCACTACATAGACTAGACTGGCTTCGATCTCACAGAGATCTGTCGCCTCTGCCTCCCGAGCATTGGGATTAAAGAGGTGCACCACCCTATGTGGTTCTTCTTCAACTTTTATACTGGACGAGGAAGAATAGGAATGGCAGTCATTTCTTGTCATTGGACGATGACACAGCTGAACAGGTGCTAACACTGGAGCTTTATAAGCCTTCCCATAAAAATATTATGAGAGACATTAGATTTGTCCTAGACATGATTTGGTGTAAATCTGAATTCATGACATCAACAAATGTATATAATAAATGAGAAATTAAATCTCTTAACACAAACTCTGGCTTATTAATAGCAGTATCAGGGAAGGTCCAACACCCCTATTAGCCTTGCCTCACTATAGTACTATAGATGCACAAATCTTATTAATCTACTTTCACCTCTCTCATATGATAACCAAACTGTCAGATCCCACAATACTATGTTTAGGCACTTTATACCAGTTATAGCTATTTGTGCACAAATACAAAATGATATAAAAGAAATCATATCATTCTTACCTTATTGCCAAGTAGGCCCAATAGTAGTTAATCTAGGAATTAACCCTACTTAGCTTTCTTCATCATGTGCATACTTTCTTCAAAACGATTTTACTTATATTATGATCAAGATCTATTAATAATCTTAACAATGAACAAGACATTAAAAAAGGTTTATCAGGCTGGGCTTGGTGGCTCCCAGCACTCAGAAGGCAGAGGCAGGCAGATCTCTTGAAATCCAGGACAACCTGGTCTACATAGTGAGTTCCAGACCAGCTGGGGCCACAGGGAGACCTTGTCTCAAAAAAAATAACAAAACAAACAAAAAAGAAAAACAAAAACAAAAAAGGGAAGGTTTAGCTAAGCTATGTCTTTTACTACTTCCTTATTAATAACTGGAAGCTTAAAACTATTTGGAATACCATTTCTAGCAGGATATTTTCAAAAGACATTACCACCAAAGTCTAAAACACATTATATGCTGATACCTGAGCCCTGTTAATTACATTAACTGCTACCTCCCTTACAACTGTATACAGCATACATATACTGCTACCTTAGGAAAATACCAGTTCTTTCTCTAATGTATGTTAATAAAAACAACCCTTCTAATCAATTCAATTAAACATTTGGCTATTAGCAGTATCTTCCCAGGATCTTTAATCTCAAGTAACATTCATCCAATACACATCCCACAAACAACCATACCTCCTTAATCTCTACTCTATTATTTTAGGATTTACTTTAAAGAATCAATATGAAGCTGAGGATGGCTAGGAGTTAAAGGCATGTGCCATTATGCTTGGCTATACTGACCTTTTCTGTGAGACTAAGATAAGGATAAGTGACTAATAATTCTATGTCATAAGATCACTTGTGACTTTGCCTAAAGCAGCTTCTGCAGAAAGCTGAAGTTATAATGCTGAATGAGGTAAGTGGAGGAAAGAATGTGGTGTAGCAAGGAAAATTACAAATCAACAGCTGAAAAACAAAGGAGTCAGGAGAGGATTTTTTTTTTTAAAGTTGTGAGCACAGTATGTTTGCATTCTATATCTAGTAAAGAAAAAAGCAGAGAAGAAGGCTACGGATATAAGCCACAAGAAGGGAAAGGTTTAGAAAACAAATGGGGAGTATGCCTCATGAATGGGATTTATCCACGTTAATAGGAAAACAAAGAGCAACTGTGGAGAAAGATGTAGGAATGCTGGTCGACAGTGCTAGGAAGAAAAGTTCTCATTTTACAGCTTATTTCTCCTCATTGCAGGAAGATTTCAACTCATGACTTAAGTCATCAGTTACAGTGATTTTAGAAGAACTGACTACATCTGTACATTTCACTGCAGCAAAAAGGTAAACCACAACAAACCATTTTTCACACAGCAATGTATAATGCCTCATTTTATGCTCTAAGCACTATTGAGTATACTGGCATGTGTGGTGGCTCAGATTGACAACCTTAGCACTTGGGTGTGGCTGAGGTAAGATTACTACCAGTTCCAGGGCAGCCAGACTACAAAGTGAGACCCTGTCTTAAAACAAGAAAAAGAAAAAAGCACACGCTAAAAATGTTATGTATGTATACATATCATCTAACAAATGGGTTTGGGGGTATAGTTTAGTGCTAGACTGGTAGCCTAGCATATATAAGGGCCTAAGTTCGATCCCCAGTGCCACAAGGGAAGAAGAAAAAAAGACATTTTATTTGTTTGCTTATATGTTTGTATGTTTTATGTTTTAAAAAGAGGGTCCTGGTTTGTTGCCAAAAACTGGCCTCAAACTACTAGCCTCAAGATCTTCCTGCCTCAGTCTCTGAGTAGCTGGGACATATAGGCACATGCCACTGTGCTCAGTGGGATACTTTTAAAAAGAAAAGTTTTTTACCTGAGATTTTTCTAGGAGATCAACCAAAATAGGAGGTAATTCTTCTGCATCTAAGTATTCAAGCAATTCCCCTTCTTCATAAGGCAGTCGAATGGTCTCAGAATCTTAAATTGAAAACAAAGTTATAAAAATGATTAGGCTCATCAAAAGTTATTAGTATGATTTAAATGGCATCGGGCACTCCCAATACCCTTTTTTCAGTCTTGTAAGTGAATCACATCACATTATTAAAACACTTATTAACTGTAAAGTTTTAAACCAGAATAGAAAAATAAACCAAACACATGGGAAACTATCTGGCTTAAAATTATTCTAATCACAGCCAATAGTACTCAGAACATTGTAATAGTCCAACATCAATGAAACTAAAAGTTCAATGCAGATTTATTGATCTAATCTGGAAATCAGAACAGTAGTAAGCTGATACTTCATCTTAAAAAATGGTCACATTTTAGACAACATTCTCTTGGTGTTTCATTTTATAATTACTTCAATATAAGAAATTTATATTTTTAAGTATATAGCTCTGTGGTGGAGTACTAGCTGAGCATGTTTAAGGCCCTGAGAAAGGGCCTGTTTGTTAAGAGCAGGAACCATTCTTGCAGAGGACTTGAGTTCTATTCCCAATACCCACACGGCAGCTCACAACCTCTAGAACCTCCAGCTCCAGGGGCTCCAACATTCTAACTTGATGGGTACCTGGGCTCACACTCACACACACATACACATAATTTAAAAAATGATACAATCTTTAAAAAAAATCCTTCCTCCTTTCCCCTTTCCTTTCTCTCCCACCCTCCCTACCTCCCTTCAGATCAAGTCTCATGTAGCCCAGGCTGGCCTTGAAATAGTTCTGATCCCAATGCCTCTACCTCCTGGGTCCTGAGATTACAGGAAAGGAATTACCATGCCAGGTTTATGTGGTGGTGGGAATTAACCTAGAGTTTTGTGGATGCTATGTAAGTGTTCTACCAACTAAGCTTTATTCTCGACTTCTAAATAAAATTCATTCTTTTTTTATTTTTTTGTTTTGGGAGGCAGGGTATTACTATGTGGTCCAGGTTGGCCTTGAACTAAGAGATTCACTTGCCACCGCCTCCTGAGTGATAGGAGTAAGTAAGTGCCAGCCAATAAAATTCTTAACTAGTGAAGTTTCTGGTAGAACCCATATTACTATCATCATATCAAATTTTGAGATGCTTCTTTAGTGAAATCTAAGAATATTTATATTTCAATACTCTTCATAGTCACAGCACTAGAAGTTTCTTTTTAGAAATATTGTCAATGTCTAATATTTTAATAACTATTTTAATATAAATTACTCAAAGGCAACAAATTTGTTAAATTTTCAAGGGTTTAGATGTTATATAAAATGCAGCACACTGGGCTGGAGAGATGGCTCAGTGTGTAAGAGCACTGACTGCTCTTGCAGAGGACCCGGGTTTGATTCCCAGCACCCACATGGTGGCTACGAACCATCCTTAACTCCAGTTCCAGGGGAATCTGAAGCCCTCTTCTGACCTCCGCAGCATTGCATGACATGGATGCACTCACATACATGCAGGCAATACACTCATACACATAAAATAAAAATAATAAATAAAATATATTTTTAAATGCCCTCTTCTGACCTCCTCAGGTATTGCATGACATGGATGCACTCACATACATGCAGGCAATACACTCATACACATAAAATAAAAATATTTTTAAAAATGTAGCACAACTTAAAATACTTTATCTTAAAATACAAACAGCAATTTAAAAAAATGCTGGCAATTGTTTAAAATTTATCTTTTATTAATTGACTTTACTTTTAAATAATTTTTTTTTTGGTCTTTTTGAGACAAGGTCTCCTGTAGCCCTACATGGCCTGGAACTCGCTATGTAGACCAGGCCAGCCTTGAACTCAGAGATCCGCCTGCTTCTGCTGGGACTAAAGGCATGAGCAACCACACCCGCCTAACTTTATTTATAATTTTAAAATAATTTATTATTTTTATTTTATGCGTATGAGTGTATTGCCTGCATGTGTGAAAGTGCACCTGAGTCATGCAATGCCTGTAGAGGTCAGAAGGCATCAGATCCCCTGGAATCGGAGCTACAGATGACTGTTAACTACCATGCGTGTGCTGAGACTTGAACCCTGGTCAACGGGTTTATCTGAGAATGTCTGGTTTTAGCCCAAGTTTTTTCTACCATGTGTGTGCTGAGACTTGAACCCTGGTCAAGATTTATCTGAGAATGTTTGGTTTTTGTCCAAGTTTTATCTACGTAGTACATGGTAATTAAAAGTACCAGACTGGTGGAACTAACTTTCTTGGATATTTAACAACCATACTTTGAGGCCTATACTAATCTGATCAGAGGGACTTAAAGGACAGTTTTTGCCCCTTGCCCTCCAAGGTCGACTAAGTTCCAGGGGACTATAGAGCATCTCTCAAAATGTCCTGTAACTGTGCTGAGTTCTCTGTCCTTTTGTTCAGGGAGGCCAGACCCCACCAGATGGACTTGAACCAGTGTCCAGTCTACAAAGAAGAGATCAACTCAGAGGAAACATTTCCTTCATGCTCCAAGTAAAGCCAGCCATGGTCAAGCAGGACCTTTGACTTATCTTCACATAGATGGAACTGGTGAAAGAAAGGAGCCAGGGGCTCCTCCCAAGTCCATGTGACCCCTGAGGAACAGATCCTCAAATGACCAAAAGTGTAAAAATAAATTGGTTTATTTGGGCCAAATGTACAGTCTTAAACACCCAAAAGGAAAGTATAAACAAAGATTAAAGTGATCAGTATATTTCTTTAAGAGTTCTAGGGATTATACTTCCCAGACATTAGGCTTAAGGTCACATAAAAAGTTATTTAGACAATTATTTCTCATTGATGATTTTCTTTTGTCTCCATTACTGTAGCGCCCACCTGTAGCTAAGGGAGACAACCAGCTATTGTTCTAAAATGATGGATAAATTTGTTTTCAGCCTCTATCTAGAAGCCTTTGAGAGGGAACTGACACTTATTCTAGCCACTCCAACAGCTATCGAGGTGCCTGAAAACAAATCCTGAGACCATCTCGAGTTCAGCCTTGGCAGACAAAAAAATGAGGAGGAACCCAATAGAGGGATGCTTTTGGAAGCTCTCGTCAAGAAATTCCAATGGACTGGTATACACATTTGACTTTTTACTAGTTTCCTATCTAGAACTTGTAATGCTAATTACTTTTGCCTTTACTTCTTCACAACTCCTATTCACCAGTCAAGGACTTTCTTTTCCCCCTAGAGATAAGGGTTACACAATTTGGGAGTCTTTTAGATTGACCCACCTGAAGGGGGTACCCCAATTGCCTCACCCTGCGTCCCTGTTCAGTATGGAAGAAGCCAGAGCGGTCTGCGTCTTGATTCCCTATCGGCAATTTCGGTAACCTCTTCAGAGGATGGTGTGATAAGAATAGGAGGTAGGAATTGGCTAGGCAGTTAGAATAAAAAGACACCCCCCCTCAAAGTAGCCAGTTTCTTGGCTAAAAGTCAAAAGGTCCTTGGACCTCTTAGCAACATACTCTTTTAAAAGGTCAAAAAGATTTGGGAGCTTTAATCTAACCCCTAAAAGATTTTAGGGTTACCTCTTCAGAGATGGGAATATTAGAGCAGCAAAAAGCTCCATTAAAAAGGAGAGCGAGTGAGAGTGAGAGTGAGAGAGAGAGAGAGGGAAAATGAATACAAAGTTGTGAAAAAGTGATGGGGAGATATGGGAGGTGTTGGAGGGGAGGGAGTAGGCATGGATTTGATCAAAACACCTTATATTCATGTATGAAACTGTCAATAAAAAAAATTTTAAAGTTAAAAAAAAGAAAAAAAAATCTGGAAAGCACAAATGTTGGAGACCAAGATGGCTGAACTCGGGACAAGTTAGGCATGTACTTTTGAATAGGTTGCAGCCTCTGCTAAAAGGGGTGAGGCACTGAAAACAGTGCCTCTACAGCCCTGCCATGTGGACCACTGCAATGACTAGCAAAAGGCAGCTGGCCAGGTTAAAAGTTTAGTCTCTTTGTTCTGAGAAAAACACCTTGACTTCCTTGATCTAGAGGTGAAAAATAGCCTAATCAATAACACCAAGTATGTGTGTAATTAAAATTAAGACATCTTAGTTAATAAGCTCTGACACACTCCCCTGGTCTTGTACAAACGACCCTCTGCTGACGTTAAGGACTGATCAACCTATGTGACACATAACACATAATATGAGCACCCTTTGTCTTTTCTGAAGTGAACTTTACATGCATCCTGGACCTGGCATGTACCCACTAGCCCCTCTTTGGTATATAAGCTTGCTGTTAGAGAATAAATTTGGTGTGTAGTTTATTGGGAAGCTCAAGTCCCAGAGTCATTACTCTGTACTGATCAGTCTCTCTGTTCCTGGAGCTGTCCCCCCCACCACTGAGCAAAGCAACCCAAAGTTCCCAATACACAAATAAATGCCTTAATGGTACAAGAAAGAAAAAAATTAAATAAATAAATGATACCATGTTGATGGTAGCATATTGGATTTGCAGAAAATACATTACCGAAAGGGAACTTTTCAGAGGAAATATTTGATCTTCTTTAAACTTTCATTTCTTCTGTGTATAGGAGAGTGGTTTTTTTTTTTTTAAATTTTTAAGTTTTTTTATGTGTATGAGTGTATTGCCTGCATGTGAGTGCACCCATGTCGTGCAATGCCACAGAGTTCAGAAGAGGGCTTTGGATTCCCCTGGAACTGGAGTCAAGGATGGTTCGTAGCCGCCATGTGGGTGCTGGGAATCGAACCCAGGTCCTCTGCAAGAGCAGAGCAGACAGTGATCTTAACTGTTGAGCCATCTCTCCAGCTCGGGAGAGAGTTTTAATGTCATTTTCAATCACATCCCTAGTGATTCCTGATGGTTGCTTCCTCAGGTGTGTCTAACTCCTCTATAATTAGCTATTATTGGAAGCAGATAACAAGCACATAAATCAAAATAAAATGTATTTGCTTCAGCAACTTAAGATATGTGTATAATATCTGTAAAAAGAGCTTTATTGTGTGTCTCTTTCCAGGAACATATTCCCTAACCAGAACTTCTGTGAATAAAATGTGGACTGTCTCACTCACTATGGGTAATGAGTTTTATAAATGACAACAAAAAAAAAAAAAGAAAAAAATAATATGAGTGTATTGCCTGCATGTGTATAAGTGCACCCATGTCATGTAATGACCGTGGGTCAGAAGAAGGCACCAGAACCCCTGCAACTGGAGCTACAGATGGTTGTTAACTACTGTGTGGGTGCTGGGAATTGACCCTGGTCCTCTGCAAGAGCAGTCACTACTCTTACCTGCTGAGCCATTTCTTCAGCCCCTATTTTTAAATAATTTTTAAAAGATTTACTTATTTATTATGTGTGTGTGTGCATGCAGGAGCCTGTGGAGGTGAGAAAAGGGCATCAAATTCCCTGGAACTGGAGCTACAGGCAACTGTGAACTCACACTTGGGTCCTCTTGCAAAAGCAAGACTACTTTTAACTACTGAGCCATCTCACCAGCCTCTCTTTTATCAATTAACTTAAGGAAATAATCAGGGCTGGTAAGATGCCTTGGCAAGTAAAGGCACATATCAATAAACCTGACAACCTGAGTTTAATCCCTGGGACCCACATGGTAGAGGAGAATGCACTATAGCGGGTTGTCCTCTGACCTCCACATGCCCACCCTCCCACCACAATAAATAAAATGTAAAGAAAAAAACACATAAACAAAAAAATAGACATAATCAATTTCAATACTTTTCAAATGCATGTTCTGTTAAGGATAATCTACATACTAGAAGCATTTTAAACATTGTAGCAAAATTCATGAGAGAAATGTAGGAAAGGAATTTGTTTTTTATCAGGATAACCCCCTGAGCAAGTTAAGAAGCTAACTTTTAAAAGCAGAACCATTCTGTAGCAGGTGTATTTTGGAAGGTCTTACCTGATCCATTTTTCCCCCTGAGCATCAGGGAATAGCCCTCATTTCCTGGGTACAGATTGACTACTAAACATGACAAAGTCTCTTGCATGACAAGCTTCTCTAACAAGTTCACATTTCTTCTTAATTTCTGCTTTAAAAAGAGGTAAAGTTCATGAAAACATTATAGCATAACCTTGAAAATGAATGCTATGATTTAAGAAAATCAGATATGAATCCATCTATTGATGTTCCTTCCACATTATGATCCTGAATACATGGGGAATTTTCACAATACTATAACCACAGTACACAGGCTAGCAATGTATACTTTTGATCCACTATCATGTTTTACATACATTAACCCGTATCATAAACTGGCCAGTGATGGTTATATACATGTGATGTAAGTAGTAGGAGGCTGAAGCAGGAAAATTATGAGTTCTAGGTCAGCCTGGACCAAATTAAAGAGTAAGACCTCATCTTTAAAACAAAACAAACCAAAAAAACTAGCATGGTGGCTCATGCCTATAAGTCCAGCAGTTGAGAGGCTGGGACAGGAGGATCACCATACATTCAAGATCAGCCAGGGCTAGCTACACAGTGAATTTCAGGCCAGCTTGATCTACAGTGAGATTCTGTCTCAAAGTAAGGGAGGGGGAAAAGAAAGAAGAAAAAAAAGAGAAAATGAGAATTGTATAATAAAAACACATATAAAACATGCTACGTGTTTAAGTAAAATTAAGAATTGAGTTCATTCTCTTTAACTGTATGGTAACAAGTTCATATTTCTTCAATACTGTAGTCTAATTAGATCTAAACACGTTCAACAACTCTAATTAGCTGAAATGTCGAACCTAAAAATATCTGATAATAAGAAATAGTTTAATTTCCTATAAATTCAATGCAATGGTTCCTTAAGAACCACCTTAAAATCATTTTTGTGTATCAGTAAATATGCATATACATAAAATCCACAATTTTACATTTTTTAAAAATATTTTTAAAATAATTTTTGCTGGGCGTGGTGGCACACGCCTTTAATCCCAGCACTCAGGAGGCAGATCTCTGTGAGTTCAAGGCTAATCTGGTCTACATAGTGAGTTCCAGGACAGCTGGAGCTACAGGGAGACCATGTCTCAAAAAGACAAAAAAATATATATATATATTTTTTTAAATTTTACATGTATGAGTATAATGCCTGCAAGTGTGTTAAGTGCATCTGTGTCATGCAATATCTGTAAGAGTCAGAAGTGGGCACTGGATCCCTTGGATACCACGTTAGCTGCCACATGGGTGCAGGGAACCGAACCCAGGTCCTCTGCAAGAGCAGCTAGTGTTCTTAAATGCTAAGCCATCTCTCCAGTCCCAAATGTATGGTTTTGAATGACAACTACTTAAAGATTTAACAACTCATCTCATTGTATCTTAGGAAAGATATGAGTCAATATATTTATTTTTATGGCATCTCAAAAATCCAAATTGCTGAAAATCTGATGTTAAATATATAACTTATTAATGTAAAACAGGAATTAGCAAGTCTTAGAATTTTAAAATTAAAATTATTTGTGTGTTGGGGAGGGAGAAAGGCATGTGTACATCCCAGCCTGCATGTGGTCAGAGAACAACCTGCAGAAATCAGTTCTCTCTATCATGTGGGTCCTGGGGATCCTCAGGCTTAGGGACATGTGCCTTTATTCACTAAGCTACCTTGCCAGCCCTAAGAATGATAAATTCTTCATCTATCATCAACATAGAATAAAAACACTAGGTAATCTGAAAATGAAAAAAAAACAAAAAAAAACACCTTAACAATTTCTAAGCACTGTAATGTAAAAAAAAACCAGAAAACAAAACAAGGATATGGGTTGGGAGTTGGGGAACATGCTTGTAACTTAAGTACTGGGGAGACTGAGGTGAAGGATTCCAAGTTTGAGACCAGCCTGGGGTATACACAGCAAGACCCTTTCTCAGAAAAATAAAAACAAAAACAAAAAATGAAAACACAACAACAAAAACCTTGAAAATTCAGTGTAGTATATGCACGTCTTCAAGAAAACAAATTTGCTCCTTATGAGTTGACAAGAGGCTGGAAACCTGGTTCTTAAATAGCAGATAGCATTTTAGGCTTGTGGGCTATAGCAACTATTCAATTTGCTAATTTTTAAAAGTAGCCACAGAAAATACATAAACCCTAATCCAAGTACTCGAAAGACTGAGGCAGGAAAATCATCACACGTTCCAGGCCAGCTTGAGTTATAGAACAAAAAGCTGCTTCAATATGGTTCCCCACCCGACTCCAGACACAAATAAATGAACCAACAGGTGTGTTAGGTTCCAATAAAAATTTATAAAAACATGCAAAGACAGTGGTTTGTGGACTCCAATTTAGAATCTTCTTTAAAAAAAAAAAAGTTTTACTCTTATTTTATGTGTATGAGTATATTGTGTGCATATGGGTAGGTAGGTGCACCTCTGTTGTGCAATGCCTGCAGTCAGAGAGGGCGTTGGAGTCCCTGGAGCTGAAGTTAGTTGCTATATGGGTGCTGGGAATTGAACCCAGGTCCTCTGCAAGAACAGCTAGTGCTCTTAACCACCGAGCCATGTTCCAGCCCTAGTGGTGGTGCATGCCTTTAATCCCAGCACTCGGGAGGCAGAGGCAGGTGGATCTCTTTGAGTTTAAGGCCAGCCTGGTCTACATAGCGAGTTCCAGGACAGCTGGGGCTACAGGGAGACCCTGTCTCAAAAAAAAAAAAAAAAAAAAAAAATCTTAAATCTAAATAATTATATTTAAAACATGTATTATTGTATAATTATAATTGTGAAATGTATCTTACCTATCTTAGTTCTATCACTAAGATGACAGATACATACATTGTAGTGATTGTTGTGATGGTTTCATGAATATATGAAAATTTATACTTAAAATTTTTTTAAAGGTATACTTTAAATGTGCAATTTATTATGTTATGTATACATGAATAAAACTTATGGAAAACAATCTGTAAGATTTATTCATAATCTTAAAATTTAAGTCATGTTTTTCAAATGTAAAGATTTTAAAGGTTGGATATTACTCAAATTCCACTATTTTTTGCTTAAACATTAAAATATTATTTACTTATAAATTAAAGACAATGAAAGCTTACAAAATCCTTAAGGCATTTTTTTTTTTTGAGACCAGGTCTTCTTAGAGCCCCAGCTGGCCTGGAACTGGCTATGTAGATCAGGCTAGCCTCCATCTCACAGAGACTCACCTATCCACTATACTCAGTTCCATAAGGCACAAATTTTAACTGGGAAAGGTCAAAATATTTTAACAAGTTAACTTTCTAGGTGGTGTGTGGCCACTCAATATTAGTGCTTAAGTCTTACTAAAACTTCTTAAAGCCAAATGTAGTAACCCACACCTTTAATCCCATCACTCAGGAGGCATAAGCAGGTGAGCTGAAGGCCAGCTCTAAGAATTATAAATTCTTGATCTACCATCAAGTCTGGTCTACATAATGTTCCAGGCCAGCCAGGGGAACACAGTAAAAAACAACACCACCAAACCAAACCAAGCCACACCAAACCAAATCAAACCACACACAAAACAACACAACACAAAATCTTTTTCTTAGTTAACTCTAACTTTGCTTTTAAAAAAAGTCAATTTTGCTGGGCGTGGTGGTGCACACCTGTAGTCCCAGCACTTGGGAGGCAGAGGCAGGTGGATCTCTGTAAGTTCAAGGCCAGCCTGGTCTACATAGTGAGTTCCAGGACAGCTGGGGCTACAGGGACACCCTGCTTCAAAAAGACCAAAAAAAAAAAAAAAAAGGTCAATTTCTATTCAACAGTAGATACTGTCACGAGATTATTTTCTTACCAAATTCATTTTCCCATATGCCCTTGTAATAGCTTTGACTTTCCAGTCAACTCATGAGAAACAGGTTATAGCTTCAGGTTACAAATCACTTCACAGAAGGAGAATCAATGAGAGCTGTACCCAGCTTGTGCCTTTCTGTTGCTCTTCCAGTGCTACTTCAGCAACTGGGCTCTATGTGGTGCCAGAATACTCAGGGCACTGGGTCAAAGAACTGACTAGACTTTGTTCAACCACAAAGATAGAAATTATTAACTGCATCAAATGTTAACTCTAAATTTCCTCCTTCCACCATAGCTCAAAAGCCTTAAGGCTAAAAAAAATCAATTATTTACCTTAACCTCAGGTTCTTTTTCACATTCTTCAACATACAAGTCATAAAGTTTTTGGAATATAGACTTTCTAGGAAAAAAAAAAAGTATATAATGTAAGTAACATCATGAAATGATTTGTTAAATAATTTCTCTAACCAAATCCCCACAGCTGAGACTATGTATTTAATAAAATGCATTACTCCTGTATAAATGGCAAAAAAATTAAGTTTAATGTTTCTAGATTAATATAGTTAATTTTGGTATAATGCCAGTTCAACATAGTAAACTGGGATTCTTTTTCACAGTTGACAGCATAGCTAAAGTTTCCAAAATCCAAATTATGTGTGTACCTATTTATAAAAAGACCAATAATACCACTTGGTATGCAAACAACAATAGCAGCAACTTTTCCAGGTTCTGCAGTTGCCATTTTTAAGACAAGGTCTCTCTTTTTTAGTTGAGGATGGCCTCAAACTTGCAATGCTCTTGCCTTCTGAATATTCATAGGCATGTGCCATTATCTGAAAACTGGAGATGAGATGGGGTTGGATATGATACTTTATACCAGTTTTGGAATTTATTTTTTAAGATAGAAGTTCTATCAAAATATGCAGCCCTGACTGGCCTGGAACCTACTATACAGACTAGGCTGGCCTCAAACTTATAGAGATCTACCTATCTCTGCCTCTTAAAAGCTGGGATTAAAGGTATATGCCACCATGCCTGGGCCAATTTAGGAATTCTTAATGCAGGCCGAGTATCCCTATCATATCTAAAATGTTGGGGATGAGAAGGGTTTTAGACGTCTTTAGCTTTTTGGACCACAGTACAGGCACAAAAACTACTCATTCCGGATACATTTACAGAAGTACAAGGAAGGCAATTTTATACAATATTTTTACTGTGCCAGCATACCAATGATAATCTGTCCCATGAAGTCAGATGTGAAAATTTCCATTTGTGACATCCCACTAGGACTCCAAAGTTCCAGATTTTAGAGTATTCCAATTTCCAGATTAGAACTTGCAACATTTGTAATACCAAGTAAGAATACAGTAAGTGGGGACTACCATATTTCATTGACTCTAAGATGTTACCAATTAAATAGTCTTACCTTCCACTAGATAGATACTTCCTTTTAGGTGGTCTCTGTCGAGCACTTTCAATGATATACTAAAAAAGAAAAGTTTATGAAATCAGCTTAGATACTGTTTTGGTATAAACAACTAACTGTATGAAGTGCTGGGTATCTAAAATGTACAAGCTAAAATATCACTTGGATCTCTGACACATGCTAAGTTGTACCTTGTAGGAAAAAAAACCACTACTTAACATGTAAATACATGTTATATAAACAAATGAAATTTAAACTGCACTAAGACTGAACATAGTATTTCAGTATAATAAACTGTAATTTCACTGGACAGAAAAATTGTAAAGTTCTATAAATATATTAAAATTACACATCTAATGATCCTTTTAAAAAAATATTTTATTATTTTTATATGTATGAGTGTTTTGTCTGCATGTAGGTAAGTACACCCGTATCGTGCAATGCCTGTGGAGGACAGAAGAGGCTGTTGGAGCCCCTGGAGCTGGAGTTACGGACAGTTGTTAGCTGCCATGTGGGTGCTGGGATTTGAACCTGGGTCTTCGGCAAGAACAGTCAGTGTTCTTAACCACTGAGCCATCTCTCCAGCCCCCAATGATCCTATTTTCAAAGGTATTTTGGAGAACTTGTCAAAACAGAAAAACCATCTTAGGAATTCTATGATCTTGTTTAAATAATTTTTAAAAATATTTTTACTATTTTTATGTGTATGAATGTATTGCCTGCATGTATGTGAGTGAACCCTTGTCGTGCAATGGGGTGGAGGTCAGAAGGCGGCTAATTCCCCTGGAACTGGAGTTAAGGATGGTTCGCAACCATCATGTGGGTGCTGGGAATTGAACCTGGGTCCTCTGCACCTCTGCACCTGGGTCAGTGCTCTTAACCGCTGAGCCATCTTTCCAGCCCCTTGTTTAAATAATTTTTAATCCACAGCAAAACTGTTAGCATACTTAAGCCTAAAACATTCCTCTGAAGATTACAAAAATCTCTTAAAATTGAATTTCTGTCAGTTACAGACATCACCATTTCAATATGTAACTTAGTCATGCCTCACCTCTGCTCGATCCAAAGCTTGCTCTAGGGCTTGCTGCTGTAAAAAGCAGAATATTTGGCAACATGAGTTGTTTTCAGACAAAAAAAAAAGTTTAATAAATACTTAACATCCTTAATTAAGTACTTATGCTTCACTTTCTGAAACAAGTGCACTGCTTCATTTCTCTCCTCCATCCCCCATTGTATTTAAGATAAGTTAAGAAAATGGCAGTTTTGGGTATCTGGATCATGACAAGTACATAAGAACTACTGAAATGGTGTCAGCAGCCAGTATTTGAGTGATACGCTTGTCAATCACTCTTCCTTCAAATACTTAGCAGTATCATTAATACACAGATACAAAAGAATCCTGGTGTGATGAGTCTTAATTTTTTTCCCAACAAGGCAGAAATAGAAGGTAAGATCCCAAGAGAAGAAGATAAGTATTGTTCATTTATTTCCTGTCAAATGTTTAAAACAAGCTCAGTATGGTGGCTCATGCATATAATTCCACTCAGAAGGCTAAGAGAGATGGATCTGAGTCCAGGGCAACCTGGGGTATGGGGAATCATCTTAAAAAATTGTAAATTATTTTCTCCCCTTAGTCTTTAACGTCTTTTGATTGTCTTACCCTGTTGCCCAAGACAGCCTTGAAGTTGTGGCAATCCTCCTGCCTCAGTCTCACAAAGGCTGGGAGTACAGGCATTGCTACCATGTCAGTTAGGTTTTAAAAATCTTAATGGCAAAAGTTAAATGCTAATTTCTAAGAACGTTTAGTGACTATGTAGCGAACAAAAATATATTACTGGGATACTGCTACAATTATAGGGGCAGCAAGTACATTTACAAATAAAGGATATACTTTATTAATTTTATTTACCTTACTGGGGGTAGGTTAGAGACAGAGTTCCACTCTGTAGCCTATGCTGCCTAGAACTCACTTTGTAGCCCAGGGTGGCTTTGAACTCACAGAGATCTTTCTGCTTGAGCCTCTCAAGTATTGGGATTACAAGTGTGAGCCACCAAAGCTGGCTGTATTTATTAATTAAAAAATATGCAAGTGAAGGAATTTGGAAATTAGCTCAGTTGGAAGTGCTTACCACACGAGCATGAGGAAATGAATTCAATCTCCAAAAGTCACATAAAAAAAGCTGGTGTAGCTGTACAAACTTATAATCCCAGTGCTGGGGAAGCAAATCCCTGGGGCTTGCTGGGCAGCCAGCATAGGCTACTAGGCAAGTTTTACAGTTAGAGACTACCTCAAAATAAAAGGTGATGGAGTCTGAGGGAAGACACTGAAGATCTTCTCATCTCCAAATGTAAACATGTGCCCCGCCTCCCCCACTGGTGCACAAATGTGAGAGGAACCTAAAATATGAGAAACCTCCATCGTCCCCAATAATTTGCATTGATACCCAACCTCCTTGCCAAAGATTTAGAAATATGGCAAAACAGAGTTTTAAAATGTATTTATTTTTATTATTTTAAATTATGTGTATCAATGTGTGGGTATGTGCATATGAGTATAGTGCTCTTGGACACCAAAAGCTTCAGCTTTCCCCTGGAGTTGGAGTCACAAACTGTTGTGAGCTGTCATGTAGGTGCTGCAGCAAGTGCTCTTAATTGCTGAGCCATCTCTTCAGCTCCAGAATCAACTATTTTTTTAGAATCAAATTTTAACACATGGATTATCTGTGAAATTTGGATGTGATTTCTAACACTGAACTGAGAGACACTAGTCAGATTTTTTTCAATTATTTTTGTCTGTGTAAGTACATGCCACATATGTGTGGGTGCCTTTGGAGGTCAGAAGGGGGCACTGGATCCCTTGGAGCAGTTACAGGGGGTTGTCAGCTGCCTGATATGGGTGCTGGTAACCAAACTTGGGTCCTCTGGAAGAGCAGTCAAGTGCTCTTAATCACTAATCACTGAGGTATCTCTCCAGCCTCTCAGCCAGATATTTTAGAGATTTTGATATGACTGCCTGCTACATAATTTGGGTAGTTCAATATACTATCTTAATGGTGCTGAAGGATGAAAATATTATAAAACACAAATTTAAACATACTAAGCTGTAGCTTACCATTGTGGCACATGATAGGGAGCCAAAAAGAAGAGAAAATTTAGGTGCTTTGCTGAAATGGGGTGAAAACCATGTCTTTCTTACACACCTGCAGAAATAAAAACAAGACCCCCATGTTAACACATAACCATACAGATTATTCTGTAATTACCAGAAAACTTAAGGCACATACATTTCTAACACATTTTTAAATACTGCTACAAAAATATTAATGCACTAAGCCACCTACTTACTACTCTTTTCACGAGGTAGGGCAAAAGTTTGAAAGTTCAGATCATTACCTATTCCCCAACCCCACAGAAGTAAATAAAAAAAACCCACAGAAAAAATGTTTTATGAATTTTTTTTCTCTATCATCAATATTGCAACTCTCCCTTTTCCTGTGGATTCTACAACTTGCCATTGGCTTTTGACAGCTATATAGTTCACTTTACAAATCAGTTTTAAAAGTGCCTGATTGGAGGAAAAAAATCTCTAGATATTCTGCCAAATGTCCCAGGCTACATTTCCAAGATGGCTCCCTTTTCCTTAAAACTAGACACATTCCTGAAAAACCTTTCTTCTAATGCAAAGTTCTCATCTTAGTTTAAAACCAAATATCCTGGGGCTGAAGAGATGGACCAGTGGTTAAGTGCTAGCTTCTTTTGCCAAGGACCTGGGTTTGGTTCTGAACACCCACATGACAGCTAACTGGGGATCTGATGCCCTCTTCTGACCTCCACTGCACTGTACACAGGTGGCACGCTTATAACCACAGGCAACATACTTAACAAAGAAAATTTAAAAATGGAAACAAAAACTCAGGTATCCTACTGAGCTTCAAGAATGCCAATGCCCTACCCTCTGGATTCTGGTCTGGAATGGGGTCCAGAACTAGATGAGGCCACAGTTGAAGCCCACTGTTCTAATCCTTTCTGTCAACCACAGATGATGTATGGGTGCTCTGAGGGCGGTGATAAGGGATATTTTTAGTATACTTTGCCCAATTCTTTGCAACTACTGTTTCTTGTCTACACAATTTTGCTAAAGTACAACTTCTAGTGACAAAAAACAGGATTTCCCATGCAAAACTTTTTTGGGAGGGAAGTAACCACAAAGCTTAGGCTAATACAGACTAAAGGAAAATCGTGGTTTGGGTAATATTATTACTAATTTCACGTGTATATTTTCTGAATGTAAGTGCATCTGTGTTGTGCAATGCTCTTGGAGGTCAGAAGAGGGTGTCAGATTCCCTGGAACTGGAGTTGTGGATGGATGGTTGTTAGCCACCATGTAGGTGCTAAGAATTGTACCCAGATCCCTTTCCAAAAGCAGTCAGGGGTAATATTTTTATAAACGCCTCAATGTATAGGTTTCAGGAATAATTTAATTATATGAAAATGTTCTGATCAGTAAACGTGAATATGAAAATACACTACATACTTACAAACATGGTACCTGAGATGATGGCTTTTTCACTAAATTACATGGGAGGGCGCATCTTTAAAAGGCTTTATTGCAGAAGGAACATATAATTGCCTTATCTCTTAGAAACATTCTGCTTGCATATGTAATTTGCCAGAACCTGTATGACGACTGTTGTAAACATGATCTACGGCTCTATTTTACGGAGCAAGGACCTGAAAGCAGACTTAGATGGGAATTCAGCCTGTTCTCAATTTTTAACCTTAGCTTCCAATATTCCAACCTTCGGTCCACTCATACCTGTAGTTAGGTTTAGACTTTTTTTTTTAAGCAAAGCATTACGACCCGATTTCATTAGACGATTCGTTAACTTTTAAAATTCTGATCTGCTTTTCCACTGATCCAAAGTCCTAGCTCATCACTTCTGTATCTGGAGTCCTAAGTAGCACTTGGATGCCGCGTCCCCCACCGGGCGGAGGCGACGAAAGATGGCATCCGGGGAGAGCTATTCCGGCTCAACTCCGGGCCGCAGTGGCAAGGACGCGCAATGAACCCCGTTCTGAATAGGGCCGCAGGGCTACACTGTTCTCGCCAAGGACCGGATTCTTCCAATTGCAGAAGCTTAAAAAAGAAAAAAAAAACTTAGGCCTGAACCTCAAAGCGCCACGACCACAGTGGGCAACGGCTCCGATTCCAGGGAACCAAGACACCCACCCCGGAGACGCACGACCAATTCCCGCGAGTTTCCATAATACCTATCAGTAAAGCGCAGGCCGAGCTGCACCGCGGGACACGGCGAGTGGCGGCTGCGCCCAGGCCCGAGACTCCCCGAGCGCACGCGGCGCGACCCCGAGGGCCCGGAAGCCGCTCCGGAGGCGCCGCGTGCCCCGAGACCCCGACCGCCCTGCCACCCTCTGCCCTGCAGCCGCCGGCCCGCCCACCTGAGCAGCCCGCAGCCTGCCTCAGTCTCCGACCGCGCCTGGCCCTGCCGCAACGCCCACCCACGGCTCCAACCGCCAGTTCCACGGGCGGAAGGGGCGGGGCTTGAGCGGCCGGAAGTTCCGGCAGGACGAGGAGCGCCGTGGGTTCTGGCCTTAGTTGTAGCCTTGGGTGTGCGAGGGAGGCTGAAAGATTCCTCACCCACTTGCCTAGGGCAAGCAAGAGCGGGGATTCTTGCTTGAATTTTTAGAGGAAGGACATTTGGAGCTAGTTTTTCCCTTTGTGTGACGTGATTACCAAGTTCAGTACTTTAAAGCTTTCCGCTGTCTGCTAGGTGCCGGCAGAGTCAGTTTTTGAATCTTTTTTACATTTACACCGGAGCACGGTGCAGTGTGTGTGTGTGTGTGTGTGTGTGTGTGTGTGTGTGTGTGTGTGGTATAGAGGCTTTACCAGCTGCTGTTGCTGGTGGTAATGTGATTAAAATTAATTTGAGGGGCTGGAGAGATGGCTCAGTGGTTAAGAGCACTAGTTGCTCTTGCAAAGGACCCAGGTTCAATTCCCAGCACCCACAAGGCAGCTAACAACCATCCATAACTCCAGTTCCAGGGGAACCCAACCCTCCTCTGACTCCATGAGCACTTACACACATGCAGGCACTACACTCATACACATACAATAAAAGTAATAAAGGAAATACTTTTTTTTTTAAACATAGCTGAGCAAGCTAGAGAGAGCAAGGAGTAAGCAGTGTTCCCCCACGGTCTCTGCCTGCAGGTTCCTGCCTTGAGTTCCTGTCTTGGCTTCCTTCAAAGATGGACTGTAACACCAGATGTGGTGGCCTGACCTTTAATCCCAGGCAGAGGCAGGCGGATCTCTGTGAGATCGAGGCCAGCCTGGTTTACATAGTTCCAGGCCAGCTAGGGCTACAGGGGTACCCTGTCTCAAAAAAGCAAACAATTTAGAAAATGGAATTTCGGAGCACGGTGCAGTATCTGGTGGTAGTAACTCTGCACCTTGAAGCAGCTTTGATCATCGAGGACTAATTTTAATTGTGGGGATATCTATTGGACATCAAATACACTTTTTTTTTTTTCGTCTTTTTGAGACAGGGTCTCTCAGTAGTCCCAGCTGTCTTGGAACTCACTATGTAGACCAGGCTGGCCTTGAACTCACAGAGATCCGTCTGACTGCCTCCGGAGTGCTGGGATCAAAGGCATGTGCCACCACGCCCAGCTAAATAAACCATTTTAGAGCGTTTAAAACGTATAGTTAAGTGAACGTTTAAAATAATTATGTCACCACATTGTCATTTCAAAACATTTTCATGACTTCATAACAGAACCTGAAGAACCCTTTCTTTCCCCCTCCCAGGTTCTTCCCTCTTGCTGGCAAATAAAAACCAGTTGGCTTTCATACTATGGATTTACCTATTCTTGATATTTTATGTAAATTGAAATATGTAACCATTTGTGAATCTGGTTGTTTGGTGAAACAAGATTTAGAAGCAGGTTTTGGGGTCGTGAAGATAGCTCAGTGGGTAAAGGTGCTTACTGCCAAACTTGAGAACCTGAGTTTGATCCCTGGAACCCACATGATAGAGGAAAGAACTGCTTCTTGCAAATTGTTCTTTAATCCTATGCAAATGCACACCCAAATAAATGTAGTTTTAGGGGAGGTGTGGGAAGGAGAGGGGATCCAAATACCATCAAATTGTATGGAAATAAAAAAAAATAGAAGCTGTTTTTACTGAGAGCAAAGATGGTTATTTAGTCCTGCAAATGTCAAATGGGTTGTGATAAGAATTTGTCTCCACTTGCATCGGTCCATCTATCATCTATCTTCTATCATCTATCTTATCTATCATCTATATCATCTATCATCTATCTTCTATCATCTATCTTATCTATCATTTATATCATCTATCTATCTATCTATCTATCTATCTATCTATCTATCTATCTATCTATCTATCTAATCTATCATTACCTATCATCAATCATCTTTGTCTTGCCTTTTTACTATTACCTTTCTTTGCTCTGTATGGGAAAGATAGAGTGGATTAGATTTGTTGGGATTCCCCAAGACTTTACTAACAGTAACATGAATCCACAATGTGGTTTTATGACTAAGATTCCACTGTATACAGATACCATCCATGTGTTGATGGGTGTTTGGGTTGTTTCCATTTTTAATCTGTTGTGAATAAAGCTGCTGGGAGCACTTGTGTACAAGTATTTGTTTGAGTCCCTATGCTACTGGAATCCTATGTTTGGCTCAACAAGAACTTAGGAGACAGAATTGGTAGAAGGGTTTTATTAAAGTCAGTCCTTGCCTCCTAGACAGCTCAAGCCAGTAATCCCAGCACCCTGGAGGCTGAGTCAGGTGCCAAATCCAAGGCCAGTCTGAGTTACGTAGTGAGTTTTAGGTCAGGCTGGGCTACAAAGTGAGACCCTACCTCAAAAACAAAACAGCCAACAACAAAAAGCCAGCCTTGTAGACAGAAGCAATGTCCATTTCAAATCTCTATCTCACAGGGATTTGTCACCATCTCTATGGGCGCTGGTCTTGTGTCAGATAGAAATCAGACAGACCAGTTCTGAAGCAAAAATAGTGAAAAGCACAGCAGACTCCTTCATAGGTAGAGTAGCTGGAAATGAAGTTAGCAGACTATCCCATTAGCCAAAGACAAACATTTACATTTTATTTTATGGGATTTAAATAGCTACTCTTTTCCCAGAAAGGAGTGGGGAGACTTTTAGTGCTTGATGGCTCAAAATGTGCCTATATTTGAGTTATAGCTCCCCTTTGGTCTGAGGTTTCACTATGCTAATGCGTTACAGTAAAACTATACTGAGGCTCAACCCTTGCTCAGATTCAGTGTCAGCTTGGTGGTCCAGCTGCCCATTATCATAGGGAGTCTAGCATCTGCCTGTTTTATTGGTTCCCTCAAGTCTACTTGCTGTTGTAGACAGACCTGCCAATTTCCTGTCAATTCTAAGACACAAACAGCTTTTAACGAAGGGGATGGGATACAGTGAGACAATTGACAGGGAGTTCATGCACTAGATAGAATCTCCATCTTCCAGAGGAATGGTATGTTTTTCTCTGCTCTGGCAGGAATATTGAACATCCTGTGACCAGGTAACTAAAACCTGAGAATTCTAGACCAGTCCAACAAATCAAGACCCTGTCTCCCCTCCCCATCACCACCACCAGCACCCATACCTCCACCACCACCACCACCACCAACAACAACAAAAGTGAAAAAACCAAAACAAACCCCCAACCGAAAACAAACAACCTTAGTTACTGTGATCTCTGTTCTTTTAGCACTTTTGGTTTTGGTTTTGTTTTGAGGCAGAGTCTGACTCTGAAACCCTGACAAGCCTGGAACTCACTATGTAAACTAGGCTTCCCTAAAACTTATGGTACTGTTCCTGCCTTCACCTCCCAAGTACTGGAGTAACAGGTATGTACCACCATGCCTGTCATGCCTGAAGTCTCATAAGGAGATGAGATGTTAAGCCTCACCACTTTGTAGATAGGCACTCCTTGAATGACTAACATGTCTACAATCAGAGTTAAGAGTCTAACCCAAAGAGGAAGGCACAGCTACAAAATGAAGGCAGAGATACCAGGTTCTTTTCCTGCTTTTGGTTACTTTGGGGAACCAAGGGAGGTGTTAGTGCTCTTTAGAAAATGCAATTTCTAAGTCTATGTTATTGATCATTCTGAGGAACACTAAAGTGAGATGATTAAACATGTTCTTGATGTTTTTTATATTATTAATATTTATAAAATATGTTTTCAAGTAAATAAAAAATGATTTTGTAAAAACAAATGAAGTCTTGGGGACTGGAGAAATGGCTTATTGGTAAAGAACACTGGTTACTCTTACAGAAGACCCAGGTTCAATTCCCAGAACCCACATAGCAGTTAACAACTATCTAACTCCAGTTCCAGGGGATCCAATGCCCTCTTCTAACCTCCGAAGGCATTACACGACATGGATGCACTTATATACATGCAAGCAATACACTCATACACATAAAAATAAAAACAAAACAATACCAAAAAACGAAATCTTGATTAAGCCTCTAGATCCCGATGCCAGCTTATTCCACAAAAGAGGCATGGATCTGGGGATGTAGCTCAGTGATAGAATACCTGGCTAACATAAGGGAGACCCTGGATTTGATATCCAGCACTAGGGTGAATTGGGGGAGTGGAGGGTTGTACAGAGTAACATGTTAAGGGACATCATGAGAATATAATCTGCTAAATTTATGATTTGGTAGACACTCTAGGGTTATTGAACATGGCTATGTGATGATATTATTAAGGAATTACTGCCAACAACTATTATGACCTGAATTATGTACACACGTAGACACCCCATTCAGACATTGAACCCCTGACTTCCAGTACCTGGGAATGTGATTGTATATTGAGCCCTTTAAAAAGCTGATTGGTTTGTCTGGCATGGTGGAACATACCTGTAATCCCCAGCAGTCAGGAGGTTGAGGTAAGGTAGTGAGTTTAATGTCATCATGGACTTTAAGGAGAGCCTGTCTCAAAAAATGTAAAACCAAACCAAAACCAAAACCAAAACAAAAAGGCTAAGTGGCAAAGTGAGGTTGTATGGGATCTGATCCAATCCTACTAGTGTCCCTTTGAGAACAAGAGACTGAGAGACAGCAGGGATTCCAGTACACAGAGGAAAGGCCAGGTTCCCTGTGAGTGACAGTGAACATAAACATACATTTTTTGGGGGGTCTTTTTGAGACAGGGTCTCCCTGTAGCCCCAGCTGTCCTGGGGCTACACGCCCAGCAACATATTTTTATATTTATGACAGTCACTCTCCCTCACTCTATTTTGTTGCCTTATATGTTTCTACTCATGTAATAGCTGAAAAGAGCCACTCATCTGTCTCTGAAATCCTCTGTGACTGAGTTCAGTACTCCAACTCCTATGACTTTTTCTGCTAGCAC